TTCTAGATCTGAGATGTCATTTCAGAATCGTCTAACACAAAACCGAGCAAAAATGGCAGTGTCTAGATAAATGTTATCCAGACTGAGATTGTTATGAGAGAAGGGGGAGATTTGGGGGGGGGGGTAAACCTTACCGAAACACGCACATAAAAAAAACATTCGTTAATTGTTTCGCTTCTCTTCGTTCTGTCCTTTTTTTTTCCTTTGGTGTGGTTGCCAAATAAACACTGCATGTCCTGACGGCAAGTCAGGGTCTTCAACTTGAACCCTCCCACCAATTACCTGTCCATTGTCGTGTGACCGCCCAGGGTACGGGGTGTTGTTTGGTGTGCCTGTATCATCATACTCCTGTGACTGTGGTAACTCTCAATGACGTTCCTCATGTCTGATGTTATAATTATGCTCTTTCTTTGGTCTCATTGACCTGTTGTGTTGAGTATACTTTTGAGATCGGTAGGTAATCGGTCTCAATTTTAAGACACGGTATAGATATGCTTAGTCAAAGGTCCTATATTGTAAGATGATTCACACTTTCTTTGAGCAACTAAAACATAATTATCCCAAAATCTTTGTTGATGCTATCTTGCTGTGGGAACAAACTTGGACGTTTTTCAGTGAACCATCATGTTGTATAGGACCTTAGGCGTAGTCTCGAAATAGTTACGAAATGTCCCTCTCTACACTTCTAAATGCTGTATGATAAGTTTCGTGCATGAATGTTATTATATTTTGCACTCCTGAAATATCTTGCTTCAGTCAAAAGAGTTGTTCAGACACGTGTGGGGTTATGTAGCTCAAATGAAATTGATGATTTTCGATTTCATGTACACTCAGTTGTATCTTAAAGCATTTCATCACCTTTCGACATTTATTTGACTGGCAATTTATGTTTTATGCACTACATTTTCATTATGTAATGTTCAGTAATGCTGTCATAAAACGATACTGGGCATTATACCCAGTACTCGCTGAGCACTTAGTAGGATTATGTGCTTGTTCTGGAACATTCAGGCCCTTTGTGTCAAAACTTGCAGCTCGAAATGATTGCTTTCAACGCCCTACTAGACATGGGTAGTTCATTTCGATGGAAGGATACTTACCTCCTTTGGTACCGTGATCCACGAATACAATTGGTGCCGACTAAATTGCTCCGAGAATGTGTGCAGATGGGCAAAACGAGAACACCAGGATAATACAGATTTGTTTTTTTAGAGCATTCTAGAAAAAAAAATAAGTGGTGAACCTGACTACCGATATCTGTTTCAGATCTGGCACTCGAAGAGGAAAATGAATATCAAATCCTTATCTGATGTTGAATCTTTGTTTCTGCTTCTTTTTAAAACTACTATCCATGACGTGACCGTATGACCTCCTGACCCTGTGACATCTTAATCATGTGACCTCCAGATCCCTTGACCTCTTGACGCTGTTACCTTCTGGCCCCGTGACCTTCTAACCATGTAACCTCTTGACCATGTGACCTCTTGACCCTGTAACCTCCTAACCCTGTAACCCCCTGACCCTGTGACCTCCTAACTCTGTGACATGATCCCCCTCTCCAGGACTTTGACCGGCGCGGTAGCCGCGGGAGTATATTCGGCACGCTGGGTATAGGCGACTTCACGGGCGGCAACTCCAGCAGTTCCTCGCACAACCAGAGGCGGCCCAGCTTCCAGGCGTTTGGCGAGAGCGTGGTGAGTCTTTGCTGTCTATTCGATTATTTGTTCTATTATTCGAATTGAGTGTGTGTTCGACTTCGAATAGAATAGCATGGGTCGTTATCGAGTGTTCTGATGCGGTTTTTTCTCTCTTTTCTGTCAAACGTCTACCGTCATAAATCTCTCCTCCTTTTTTGTGTTCTCGTAACACCTCTAATCTTCAGCACTTATATGATCTAACTGTGTTGCAAGTGCCATAAAACTCTTCTTACTGAAACAAAAACAAACAGTGTCGTTGCCATAACTAGAAGGCTCTGGTACGTGGTCCGTTGGGTGTGCCCTATTTTGTATTTGTTACTCTCTTATAACACCTCCTGATTGTTTTAGTAAGGTTTTACGACGCTCTCAGCTGCGAAAAGTCATATGAGCGCCAAGGGGTGGGTGTCAACTAAGAAGTCCAAACGGGGAATCAGACTTACTCCGCTCACCTCTCTAGCCTCAACAGCACAAAGTCTGCTTCGACTATCAAGGCACCCCGGAAATAGCAGTTCACAAGAGAGTCACGAACATACAAAAAAGTAGAGGAATAATAACGAGAGTGAGGATGAGGAAAGAAAAAGCAGCAATTCCCCATACATTGTTCCAGAACAGTATGAGCATGACATTGATAAATTAGCCCATTTACAATTCTACTATGCATAAGAACATGTTCATTCTCCCCCCCCCCCCCCTCCTTTCGGGAGTGGCATAAAAACTGTAACACCTCCAAGCTCTAGTATTTGTGCTTCTTTATTGTGTGCAAGTGCCCTAAAACACTTACTAAAACGTAAACCTTTCCTTTGTGTCTTTGAATGTTTTCCAGATGCAGCTCTTTGGCAACAAGTGACCATGGCACGCGTCCCGTTGTTTCCCCTTCGTTGTAAAGTCCGGCACGGAATGCACACAGCGATGTCGACTGATGTGGAGCTCTCTAGGGACAAGGATTATCATCGCTCCCTGTAGCGGTGGGCTTGAGTAGTAGACTGGCGTGGCTGTTGGCGACTGAAACTAACTAACTGTCCCCGTTGGATCGAGGAACTGCTACACTTTACAATGAGACATCGTGAATTCCATGTTTTTTCTCTCTCCTTTTTGTAACGAAAAACTTGCTCAAAAATGGCTGCGTTCTTATTCTGAGTGACAGCAATAATAATGAGGGCCTATAACTGAATCTCAAAACATAACAATAACCCTTTTATCAATCTCCTTCACCAAAATGTTGACATGATATTTGACTTTTTTACTTTTAAGATTATTTCAAAGGCCAACAGAAGACAGAGTAAATCTAGGCCGAATAGAGAAGCTACCTCGTCGACCATCGTGTGACTGTCAATACGTTCGCTTCTCTTATATTCTATGTTGGAACAGAACTTAAAAACACGATCAAAATCTGCTGTTACTCTGTCTGTCGCAATATTGGTGACGTCTGCGTCATGCAAAGCAGTCTCCATTGAAAAATAAGAAATAAAATGATGTGAAAGATGCAATAACAAAATGAGCGTTATCAAACTATTAAAACTTACTTTTATAACAGTCAACGGAACAGAAACAGGTTGCAGGGACTCTATTTTTAGACAAGTCCAGTGCTGACAGAGCAAGGATGAGTAGCTCACTGCTGTTTTCCACCAACGTTGCGTGATCTCTACAAACATTAAGGAATCGAACTAAGCAATATAAAGAAAGAGAGAGAGAGCTATTTCTGCTTGGCGAGCCATGTTGTTGAGTCGTTGTGTACTATACATATTGCATAGAATCCCTCCTGGCCTTCCCAATAAGATGTTATACCATGTTTTTGCACACACAACCCTGAGAGTTTCTCTCCGTCTCTGTCTCTCTATCTCTCTCTTTCTGTCTCTGCTTGTTGGCCTCTCCCACCCTCTCTTGCCAAACTGTGTCCTCCTCCCCTCTATCAGTGTTAATTGTTTTGCACTTTTCCAATTTAATCAATTTCAAACAAAAGGGACATTTTTGCAAGTCATTTCTGTCCACGATATATTCTTATGTTTCTTCTAATAATATTATTTACAGCATCGTTGATATGTATACAAGAATGTCGTACTTATAATGCATAAATTCCATTAAATGAAGCTTATGATCTGGAGAGCCTTCTGTGTGTGAGTGGATAAAAAAGAATTGGTGACGATTGAAATAAACTTGAATTTTGTTCATTGATTTGAGATA